ACTTCAGATAAGTTGCATCTCCAGCTAGATAAACTTTCTGAAAGCATTTGTTTTCCACTTAATCTGGATCAAAGATATGTTTGGGGGATTCAGCTAAATATAGCACCAGAAATGCTTCCAAACTCCTCCGTTGTTAAGATTTTTAATTTGAAATCACACATTTTACAAGAAAATAACTGTTCTGTAGCCTTGTTTAAGAAACCTCATGGTCAGGGTGGGACAGAGAGATAGTTCTGGAATAATTTTCTTTCTCTTTAAAGAGAAAAGTAGTTACATCAGTGGAGTCCATGGTATCTGGACCAAAGTTAACTCAGAATCCTGCTGTATTTGGTGCACAGCAGCACTGTGTGAAAACCTGGAAGTGGAAATGGGTTTATAGCTATGACCATTGCAGAGAAGACATTCTTCTGGATTAACACCTGGGAGGGTTTTTTTGTCACAACAGGCAAATGCTGAACTTGGTGCAGTTTGGTCAGTGGGACAAAGAATCTGGCAGAGAGACTTCCCAGGAATCTATTCAACAATCAGTGCTCATCAGTGGTCTGAGACCATCCAACCAATCATGGAAGCACTCAGAGGTACAAAATGAACTTGTGTGGGCAGCAGGGAATTGCCCAAAATGATTCCTGTGTGCTCAAACACAGAGACAAAATAGACAAATGACTAATTATGAAAAATCAGAACTGTTGCCAAATTTTTGTAGGTTTTCCCCGAAAGGATTTTAGGTATCAGATGCAAATAAAAATCTCGTGACAATACCTGGTAGCAACAAACTAAATTGTTTTTATTAGGGTTGTGTCTGTGATTGTATATTCTTTCATACTGGAATTTCATAAACCATGTGGTTTGTTCTGTAACAGCAAAACTGACCATTAGTTACCCAGTTTTATCAGACTTCTAAGCAGTAATTTAGGGAATGTGACTTGGCATTTCAGAACCTTCTGACACTTACAGAAAGGTTTATCCCTTACCTCTGACTTGAGACAAATGTTTTGACAGTTTTAGAGACTGTGAAACAGTAACATGCAAATTCTTGCTACCAGAGGGCTGCACAGACTGCTAAGAAGCCTTCTGGGGTATTCTGCAATAACAAATTCTCTGTAGCTTTAGAAACAACTGATTTTTAGATGCCATTAGTAGTTTAATTAATTGTTGTGATAGATTTTTTTTTTCTGCTTCTGAACTGTTTTGACACACAAGCCTATTGCAAGTGGAGAATGCTGTCAGGTGCAGGGTTTCCTGAAGTGGTTTATGTACTGGTGGGAGTGCCCAAGACCTGCATTTGGAGGTCAATGTGGTCTCAGAGGGGTTTTGTCCTGGCAGAGCAAGTTGTTGTCTCTGACTGCAGTACAACAGTGAAGTGTGGGAGGGGAGGGGGAACTTCTGAAGTGCTCACTTTGAGGCTGGTAGTGGTTTTCCAAAGGCATCAGAATTGGGAAAATGTTCTCAGGTTTCCTACCTGTGGAGATGAGTCTCCATCTGCTTACAGTGTTTCTCTGTCCTTAGATGCCACCAGGAAACGAGCCTTTGCACTGGTTTCTCAGGCTTATACATCAATAGTTGCAGATGATTTTGCAGCTTTTGTTGGACTTCCTGTAGAAGAAGCTGTGAAAGGTACTTGGCATCTATTCCCTGAGTAGTTTTTGTGTGGGTGATTGAGATCAGAGAGCTCTAAGTGATGACTAACAAAAACATGTATACAGATTCTGAGACTGTTATAAAGACAAGTGATGGGGCATAGAAATAATGTCTTTATTCTGGATAATGGTTGTATTTTTTAAAAATTATTTGCCACTGGTTATTGTTTATTCTCCCCTTCTAGATGTTAAAGCAATTCCATGGTGAGGGAAGAGTGAAACATGAAGCTAATTCCATGTGCTTTCATGATGTTATTTGTTGAACTGCATGTCTAAATATAAGTATTGTAGTAAGAAATCTGTATTGGAGTTATGGCATAGAGGCAGTGACCAGAGATACTTTGCTACTGGCCTTAATGTGCATCTTTATTTTGCATTTCTAGCAATCATATAAGAAAACTGTTCTTACAAATGTAAAAATGCTTTTCCAGGTGTTCTAGAGCAGGGCTGGCAAGCAGACTTTGCAACTCGCATGGTGATGCCTAAAAAACCAGGTAGGTGGAGCTGTTATTTCATGAAACCCTGAGTTCAGCCTTTTCGAGGAATTAGGTGTTAGTTTTTTATTAAAACTTCACCCAGAATTCTGTTAGATATTTTTTGGAGGCTAATGCTGCTTGTAAACATGGGGCATGTATAAATGTAAGGAAGTACAAAGTAGTGGGTTTGGTTTGGACTTCTGAGTAGTTTGGATTAAACTACATCCTCACATGAACTTTTTTAAACAAAAGCTGTCAGGACACACTGTGATTGCTCCTGCTCCTCTGCTGCTGGCTCTGACTCAGTGGCACATCAGCTGGGTGACCTGCAATGACATGTCTTAATCTAAGAAAGATGAGTAAAAAATACACTATTTTGAACCTGAGAATTCTTTCAGGAGAATTAGAACTTCTTTGGGCAGGGATTGAGTGAATCCTTGTCTTCTGAGGAGCTCTAGCTGTTGGTGTAATGTCTTTTACTTTTAAAATTTATTCTGCTGGATCTTTTCTTCACTGTCATTCTGCTGATGACAGAATCTCTGTTTCTGCAAAGCTTGGTCTGCAGAAACACTTGGCTTTTTTTTTTTTTTTTTTGCTAAAGCTTTATCTGTGTTTGGCTGAGGCAAAAATAAATATTAAGCTATGAAAGCAGTATGGAATGAGTGGTCTTAAACTGCTCTGTGCAGCTCTGGAAGAAGGAGCCAAATCCCAGCATATCTAAAAGGGCCAGATCTATTAGGCTAAGAAAATACACTGTTTGTAGGGGCAGTTTTTAGGTGTTCAGAGCTCAGAACAGCATAATAAAGATGTGCCAGGCAAGGTGTTGAAAGTTATTCCTCAGGGCACAAATCCAACCAGAGCCCTGAGCTTTTGTGTGTGATCAGGTGGGGTTTTCTATGAACTGGTTGCAAACTAGGCAGAGCCTGCAAGTACTGGGAACTACTTATATGTGGGGGATTTTTTTTATTTTTTTTTCCAAAAATGAGTGCAGGAACTACTGCTGAGACAAAAGAAGGAGGTGGGAGACTGTAATCTGTTTTGAAGCAGCTAAGGCTTGGATATTCTGCTTTTTATCTATGAAATAAAGTGTGATAAACAAACAGGTTTGATTTTCTTTACCTTTGAACCCAGTTTTGACTTGCTGTATAGAACTGTTTAAAATTGTTCCACTGGACTAACTTTCATGTGTTTTTCTTCAGGTGTGCTGGAAGCTTCCTTGAAGAGATTTATTCCTTCATCAGGTATTTTTGTTTATATGTAGTAAATGTGCATTTAGATGAATATAAGCATTGTCACCAGCACCACAAAGTGGGAATGAAGTTCTAGAGAAGAGAATGTTGTCACTGCCCTCTCAAAAAACCCAAACAAATCACCCCAATCAGCTGTTGGGTAAACAGGATCATTTATCCCTCTGTCTTCTTTCCCTCACGTTGTAAGAAGTACCTGAGATTGCTGAGGTTCCCACTTCCATAGCTGAAGGAGGGAGCAGATTCCAAAGCAGGGGTAGAACAGCCTCTGTAAAACAAAACAATTTTGGCTAAAACTGCTGCCTTGAAGGCAATTGCTTCACCAAGCAGCTCTGGGCAGGTTTCATTGCTCTTGCATAATGTGGGACTTCAAGTCCTTCTCCCCTGCAGAAACAGTGATTTTTTGATTTTCCTCAGAGCTCAGCTCTAGATTGAGATGGAAGATATTATGTTGGATTCTCAAAACGCTCTCTTGTTCCCAAGACAGTGACAGCAGGTCTGAATGGGTGGCTTCCTGTGCCTAGCAGTTGTCAAAATGTCTTAAGTATAGAGATTTAATTCCAGGAGCTTGCTTTTTGAAAACATTCATTGGATTGTCAGCCTCCTCTGACATGCAGTTGCAGCCCTAAGCACTGTGGACGCTTTCACTGTGTTCTGAATGCTGGCCTGATGACTCTTCAGGAAGAGTAAATGCAAATTTTCCTGCTACTGTTGTTTATATCTGCTTTTTAATTCCTAATTTATGTCCCTGGCTTTAGTCACCTGCCTTCCAACTTGTTGTTAACTCGAGATCTCGGGTCAGGTGGCACTTATCTAAGGATCTGCATGTGCCCTCATTCTCCTGCAGCCTGTGCAGTCTTGTGTGTTTTGTTCATCAGATCCCCCAGTAGATTTGTTTGGTGTCTTTAGAGTGGCAGCTTGTAAGGAAAGGAGCCACCAAAGAGCACCAGGAGCGTTTTTGTCAGGTGGAAGTACTGTCAGGCTTCATTATTCACACTCCATTATGTGCAAAAAAATTCTGGAGGCAGCTGACAGATGGGACTTGTTGCAGCAGTTGTTGCTGTTGGTAGCTCTTGGACTACTGAGTGTTACAGATAACAGCAAACTCCTGTCAGCTAGAGCTGTGCAGGTAGGAGATACAGTTAAGGTGTGCCCCCAGAAAGCTGTTCAACAGTCTGATGCATTTAATTTTTTCCTTACTGTCATGATGGATGGTATTGCTGATGGATTTGCTTCCTAAATTTCACGAATGATGCATTTGTTTTCTCTTTTTAGAACCTGCTGCGGTCCCACCAATTCCCAATGAACAGCAGTTGGCCAGATTGACTGACTATGTGGCCTTCCTTGAAAACTGATTACCTTGCTCCTGTGTTCAGAACAACCTGGGAGCCCTGTGTGCTGAGAGTTTTAATAATCTCAGATTTATTTTGTTCTATATCTGTTAAACATTGCAGTGTCCCCTGCTCAGATGTGTGAAGTCTCTAGTGTATGTTGGCCCAGCTCCTGTTCTGCCAAAGCCCAGCTAGCAGTAGAAAAACTCCTTTAACTCCTGTAATATTTATTCAGTAGGTACACAGCAGTATTACATAGTAAATTCTTGTATTAACTCATAGCAGCAAGAGACAGAACCTTTTTCAGGTATGTTAGAAATGGAGAAGAAACAACTTATCTGGTGAGTAGTGCAGTGCTTAGCACAGAGCTATTGCATGTTGAACTAAAGGACAGAGAGTAGAAGACTGCCCTACCCTATCTGCAGAGAGAAAAGATTTTGAATATTGAATACTTTTTAATATTACTGAATGAAAACAATTTTACAGTAACTCTCTGGCAAGTAGTTTTATGGCAAATTTATTGTTGATTTTTTTCTTGTTCTCTCTGAATTGTGAAATCTTTCTTTGATGTGAGAAATTTCACATCAGGCGTATTTTTACAGCAGAATAATTGGAATTGTTTAAGAAAGGCAAATCTACACTTTGAGGAAGAATTTTGACTTTTGGAAGGTTTTATTTGAGTGTCAGAGGACACCATATGTTTTGCTGGTAACTCTACACCTTGAGGTCTGTCATGTCTTTGATGCCAAAAACAGCAGGAAGTAGCTGCTCAGAGACAAAATTTGGTCTTTAAGCAGCAAAGGTATTTATTTTATGCAACACTGGAGAGCTACCAGTTTGCACTGGACAAAATAGCTCTAAAGTTTTCAGTGAAAAGGCAGGCAATTTATACAGTCTTGGTGAGGGATTACAATATTTCACATGAATATTCATTAAAATTACAACATCTAGTGATAATATTCATATTAGGCAGGGTTCAGGCGGAGCTTGAGGTGGAGTCATCTCCTTTTGGGGAGATTCCTGGGGGTCCTTCCAACTCTTCAGCCTCATGAGGGTCGTTTTTCTTTTCCTCATTGGCAATGAACTTTTCAGCTCTTCCTGACTATGTGCTAAGGTCTTGCTAAAAACCCCTTGACTCAGCTCTTCTTCCCCCCTCCAAATGTCCATCCTATCTAATTTATGACTACTAAGCTGACCTTTTTGTTATCTGTCATTAGAACAGAACATACCAAACTCAGGCAGGCCTCTTGGAGCCTGGTACCTCCTCTCCCTTTGCTAATCCCATAATACCTGTTCTCTGTCACTTTTAACCTAAATGCAGCATTCCTCAGAGTGGGATCTGTGAACTCCTCCTCAGAGCAAGATTCCAGCATCTAAAAATCTGTTTCATCTTGGTTCTTCTCAGCACATTGGGCCAGGATCTACAAGAAACAACAACCTTTAGCTGTCTTTAAGCTTTCTGGGTTACCCCTGCAGTTACTGGAGAGGAATTTAAAGGTTCAAGTGGGATCAGAGAGCAGCTGGGAGGGGATGGATGATACATTGTGCTGCAGTGTCAGTTTGAGGAACATTCTCTGTGTTGGAGCAGTGCTGTGTTAATCTTGGAGCTGAGAGTGGATTTTAGAAGCAGACATGACTTTCATTCCCATTTGTGTTATGTTGGTAAAAAGGCTTTGGGAAAAGGGTGGTGCTTTGGAAGGCAGCACGTGCCTTCATTTACTTGTCCCCCGTTTCCTGTTCAGGGGTTTCATGGAAGCTGGCACGTGTGCCCTGTGTTGTGATTGTTTCCCCAGTGGGCAGTGCCCACTGTACATTCTCTTGGTGGGGATGTGTTAGCAGGGGGAATTGCAAACTGCTCTGCTGCCTTGAGAGCTCCCTGTATACAGAAGCACTTTCTCAAAATGATTATTTATTTGAAACCCACTCAAGACTTGGATTTCTAATTTTATTGTGAGTGATACTGAAGGACATCCTTTACTCTGACCTTGTGTACTTGATATTTTAAGTTCTCCTTAGAGTACAGTTCTGGTTCGGTGAGTTTTTAAATGAATTCTCACTGGTCTAATTTGGGTGGCAATAGGCAGTATAGAAATACCATTGGCTGTGCCACAATGGGGATGGTCACCTCCAAAACAGGGACGTGGACAAGGCAGAGGTGTTTAACCCTGTCTTTGCCTCTGTCTTCAACCCGGGGATGGACCAAAGTGGGGAGGGGGGGAAGGGGAGTCCCCAGTAACACCCTCCCCCCCAGTTTTGGGGGTCCAGGGTGTCTCACTCCTCCCTTTTTGCGCCCCCTCCCACTGGGCGTGGGGGGCGTGGCTGCCTCACACAGACTTTAAGAAAAATAATTTTAAAAAAATTAAAAATACTAAAACAAACAAACAAACAAAAACCAAAACCACAACCAAACAAAACCAACACAAACCAACGAAATTAAAAATAAATACGACAGCGGCTGAGGCGGAGGGCGCGCGGCTGCAGTGCCGCTCCCGGGGCCGGGATTCGAACCGGGGGATCTGGAGAACGACGCGCTCCCCAGGCCGGCGCCTGAACCGTTCGGCCACCGGGCAGGGCAGGCGGGGCTTCCAGGGGGGGGGGGGGGGGGCGGGTGTCCGCCTTACACGGGCTTTAAAGAGAATAATAACGGAATTTAAAAATACAATGAAAAATATACAAAAAATACATTAAAAAAGAAATTTAAGTGAAGAGAAAATTAAGTAAAATAAAGAAGCCAACTCCCAGGGCGTACGCCAAGGCTGCCGGGCTCTGCCGGGAGCTCCCCCGGCGGGAGGAGGGCGGGCGGCGGCCCCGCGCTGGGCTGTGCCGGGGCTCTGTGGGGACGCTCCGGCCACAGGGCCGGGCAGCCGCGGGACGCGGGGCAGGGCTGGGGGCTGTGCTGGCCCAGCCCGCTGCGGGGCTGTCCCCTCTCTGCTCCCGTGCAGAGCAATAGAGTCCCTGCCAGGCTGGCGGGTGCCCCGCAGGGAGAAGAGCCCGGCCCCGAGGAGGCTCAGCGCTGCTGTGACCCGCGGTCCGTGTCACCTGCCTTCGGCACAGTCCCCACAGCTCCCTTGGCCAGGAGCATCCAGCTGAAGGATCCGGGAGTTTGCACCTCCTCTTTTGCAGGAGGTAAGGAAGAGGAGGGAGTGCAGGAGGGGTGTTTTCCAGGCAGGGAGGCAGAGGGAGCAGGGAGAATTGCAGCTCCCCGCAGCTCTGTCAGTGCTGGACGGACTCAAGGCTGAGAAAGGTCACTCGGGGTCAGGGTTGGGGAGAGACCGGGGTGGCCCTGGGAACCCTGGGGCCCTTGGCTGCAAAGGTGGGCTCCTACAGCCCCAGACTGAGGAGGCTAAAAAGGAACTTCTGTACTCCATGGAAACTCTCCTATATTTCTTGTGCAGTCTTGGAATTCTGTTGAGTGATTTCCTGTCCAGCATCTCTTAACAAAACCTGTAAGAAATTTAGAGGTAGGATTCGAATTTGGGTCTGTTCCCTACAAACTCCTGCAAAGCCTGAGGGACTGGGGTGACGACTACTCTCAGCAAAGGTGATTTATTAATATTCTGTTGCATTTTCCTAAGCTCTAGGCAGGAAAGCTGAGAATTAATTGAGTGAGTTTTTGCCCCTCAGGAACATAACAAGGTGGTACCGGCGTCCAAATCAAAATTTGTATTTCTCCATAGTAATTTGAATCGATTACTCCCAGAAAAACAAACAAACCCAATTTTGTTGTTGAGGATCCGCCAATTAAAAGTGTGTGGATTCCTTCCCCTAAGGGTCCCCACATTCCAGTAGGTATGGGGGCTATTTCAGTGGATGTCAGGGTTACTGATTTGCTTGAGGCCAAATCCAGGCTGGTGTTCCCTGTGGTAGCTGGAATGAGGTTGCAGACAAAGCATTTTGGACCATATTTGTTCGGGAGGGGAGAGTGTGACCCCTGCCCCCCCCCCCCATGTTTCCCTGTGTCATGGGCTTACCCGTGTGAATAAATCAAGAATGGCATTCGCTGGCCCAGTGCTGACTGCCCACATTTTGGGCAGTTTCTGGATGGGAGGTTTTTATTTCTCCCCGCCCCTTGTGGGCAATCCTTTTTGAAATGATCTGTCCCCCCCCATCGGTAACACCCTTCTTTCTTTCTGCCCCCACCCCCCAGGTCATGTAATTGTGCAGCCAAAGTTTAGCTAATGAAGCTGTATGGTGATCAATAGAGCCTACGTTTTGGCATGTTCTCACCATATCAGCAATTGTGCAGGTTTCTGGTTTGGGGATGGTTTGCAGAGCTTTTACAATCTTCATTTGCATTGTCAAAGGCCAATTGTTTAAAAATCAGTTCACGAATGTCATCATTATCCACTTGTCATCCCAAAGTGGCCTAAAGCTGATCTAAAATTTGGGGGTAGGGTTCTGTCAAACCTTGAAGAATTATAGCAAAAGATAAACTTGTGTCCTTGTCCGTTGCAGGGGCTTTTCTGATCACTTGTAAGGCAAGCTTGGCAATTGTGCTATAAATATCCCTGGGATAGTTTGCTTGAGCTTCGGGGGCCGCATAGGCCCCCTCCCCTGCCAGCTTGCCATAACTTATTCCCTGTTGTTGAAAGGCGTGATCTATAGCTTGGGCTGTACATTTTTCTTTAAAGTGTGATAGCCAAATTGTGTTGTTGTTAAAACCACTTTCAAGAGACATTATTAATCATGAGGAACTTAACGTTTCTAAAAAGGAGCACACACGGGGTGAAGAGATACTGCTTTCTCTTACTAACTGCTGTAAATCTTTTATCATTTCATAAGACAGGTTATGATATTTAGGAGATTTTTGTTGTCAGTATATTACAGGGCAGGTGGGTACAACTTCCCAAACTCCTGCTGCTAAAGCTTTTTCTCTGCAATCGTCCCATTTGTTTGCATATAACCTTCTGTGCATGCGCTGAGTATTAATGGAAGGAGATAATTTTCGTTCCAGTTCGTCTAACTCCCGATCAGAAGAATCATTGTAGTCAGTGTCAGATTCCTCTTTCAGGAGGGTGGAAAGGCATGATTGTGGGAGTTTAGGCAGCTTGCAGCCCCTCTTCTCCTTAAAGGGTAACTCTGTGCTCTTAGTTTCGTCCTCCTTCACAGGAGGAGCGGGAGGTTTGGCTGCAGCAGTCTCTGTCTCTTTTTGAGCTGCTTTTAAAGTAGCCAGTAGCATACCCCACCTAGTTAAGTGTTTGCAAGCCACAGAGTCCCCAAATCCCGCTTGCTCACAGAGCATACGATCAACTTGTTGCCAAGTTTCTATTTGGAAAGTCCCATCTTTTGGAAAATCAGGTAGATGTAATGACATCATTTTCCAGGGTAAGTGGTGCACGTGGTAATCAAGATGGTGGCACCCAAGGCACTTCCGGTGTGCCAAATGTAAACATCTGGCAAGATGGCACCGCCCATGAGACACAAGTGAATCTCATAGACAATAATGATATTGATGAGCTGGTCCCCTGGTTGCCAGGGACCATTCTGGAATGGAGAGGATAGGCCGTGACATCACAAAGGGACCCATGGCACACAAATGGGGCTTCATTTTGGGGTTGTAGGGTGTTGGTTCTTTGGTTACCAGGGCCCACGCCAGAATAGGGAGAATAGGTTGTGACATCACAAAGGAGCCCTTGGCACATGGATGGGGTTGAACATGGTGGGAGCTTGGTTCTTTGGTTTTCAGGGGCTAATCCGGAATGGAGAGGATAGGCCGTGACAAGAAGTGCCTGTCAGAACTGCAAAGATGGACTCAGAAGAATCTTATGTGCATGTGTTCTCGACTCTGCCCTGCATACCTTTGTGCTGGGGTCAAAACTCAGTCTCTCCACGTCCCTCTCCTAAGGGACTTGTTCTTAGACATCCCCGTTCCCTTACGCTCATTTCAAAAGCCCTCCTGGCAATTCCCAAGCCTGTACCTGGCTCTCATGCCCTCTCTGGCTCAGAGCTCTCGACTTGTCTTGCAGAGAGCTGCGCCTGTCAATGCACCTTCCGAAAACGTGTCCCTTCAGCTGGCTCCGAGGTTCCTGCAGTTGCACCAGGCCCTGCCCAAGGCCCTCCCATCAGGGGCTGGGCCTCGGAGCCAGGGGAGAATCCACCCATGGCTTGGCCATTCTTCCCCAGCCCTTGTCTGGCCCAGCCTCCTCCCCCCTGCACACTCACCACTGCCACAGGCTGCACTGGGGCAGCATTTACTTCCTGGGCCCTTTAGAGCTGCCCCCATGGGGACACTTGCATTTGATGTGCCAGGCACTAGAGCCAATCCCAGCCAGTCCTGCCCATCAACCCCAGCCCAGCTCACTGACTCCTGGTGGCCCCTGGAAGCCAAGAGCCAAAGGCCGACAGCCACAGAGTGCAGCCCCACCCATCTGCACTGGGGCCTCAGGGCTTCCCTTTCCCAAGCAGCCTCTGCAAACCCTTGTCAGAGAGAAAATTGGGTGACCCGACTCATGCTTTTAGTAAAGAGGTCTAAACATTTCTTGAATAATGGAGAGGGATGACTTTTTTGTTCTTGACATTTCCAGTTCTCCATTTGGGGGCAGGATGTCCTCTAGGCTAATGTTTTGTTCCCTGTGGAGTGAGTGCAGCCTCAGAGAGCTGAGCCCTGTCTGGCTGGGCTTGGCCTCTCCTGGAGAGACTCAGGCCTGGCTGGGCTGCCCCAGACAGACACTGAAGGAAGAAGAACTCAGGCCGCCTGTGTCTGGTGTCCCTGCACAGCAGTCTGAGCTGAGCCCCACCTCTGCCTCAGGGCCTTGGCCAAAGGGCTGGCAAGGAAGAGGCCCAGGAGCCTTTCGACCTGCCCAGCTTTCCTGCTGCCTGGGGGCTCTCAGTCCTCGCCTGACACCGTGTGGGCCCAAGGCCTTGGCGGCTTAGGGCTTACGGCTGCCAACACCATCCCACCAGCCTGACCCCTGTCACCACCAGTGAGGAGGGCTATGTTAATATTCCTCTAGTCAATGTAAAACACAGGAATGTAAGAGATTGTTCCATCTCTGACACGCTCCTTTGTTTTTACATTGACCAGTGTAATGAACAATTAGTAATTGGGTGTTCTGCCAAGGTGTCAGTCTTGTTAATGGGGCAATTAAACGCCTTGGGCAAGGCTTCTTTGAAGCCGTTTAAAGTTGCACAAGTGGTGTTTAACCACTTCGAAGCTATTTCCTTCAGCTGAGGTACGTGCCAAGAGTAAGTTTTGTGGGCTACCAGGAGCCCCCCCCCCCCGCCCCGAGCCCAGGGACTGAAACAAAATGGCAGACACTGACTTTGGCCTTTAGCAGAGAGCCTTCTTCACCGACTTAGGGGGACATTTTGGATTGCTTGCTGGCCTCCTGGAGAGTCTACAACAGAAAGTTGCTACATTTTCCTGCCTTGGCAGAGCCAGCCTGCCTGGATACCAGCTGCTTGACCAAACGACACTGTGGAAAAATCTGCCCGGAGTCAAGCTGGCCAGTGAGTGCCCACTGGGGGGTATTTAAGGCAGTGCCCAGCGCTGTTGTCTGGTACAGTCCATTCAGTGTTGCTCAGGGTCCTGTGCTGGCTGCTGGCCCCACTCCTCGCTCCGTCCTGCTTGCCTCTATCTTGCCTGCTTCCCTCCTGCTCGGGTCCCACCTGCCTGTGTCTGCATCTTCTGCTCATCTTGGATCCAGTCTGCTCACCACCTGCTTCTCTCTGGCGGTTCTTCCCTGACTGCCTGAAGCTGACTACACTCGATTCCCTTGCTGGTGGTGGTAACCTTTTTCCAATTTCCTTTTGTAGCCTTTCCTTTTCCTTATCTCCCCCTCTTCTTCTCCCCACCTCCCCCTCGCTTTTACTGTTACTTATTTTTACAATAAAGCTAATGGTCTGTTTGAGACCTAACGTTTGGAATTTTGTGCCTCAATCTCGCCTTCGAAGTAATCATCTAAAAGAACCACGTTATAGCCTTTAACCGGTCTGTAACAGGTGAGGGGCCATTCATGGTTGCTTCTGTGCTGCTTTGCTCATCCCCATGGGGATGCAGCTCAGAAGGGGAAGATGAAAGGGAAAAAGGAAAGGGGAAAGGGAAAGTCCCCTGAGACTCCTTGAGTAGATCCCAAAGGGGCCGGTGTGTGCTCTTCTGAGGGCCATGGTGAGAAAACAGGCCGAGATGGAGGCTTGGGGCAGATCCTCCTCTCTTATCCCGGTCCTGCACACCCCTGTGCTGTGGAGGGCTGGGATCCCTGGGAAGGCTCTCCGGGCTGGCACAACCCTGGCACAGCTGCTGGCCAAAGGGCACCTGCCTGCGCTGCCCGTGGGAGAAGTGACCCCAGTCGGGCTGGGCTTCGTATTTAGGGGGTCTCCTCTGAAGAAGCCCAGAGCTGTTCCTGCCCCTCCCCGCAAGGGCTCCTCCAGCAGCACCAGCTTCCCACCCTGCCACCTCCTCACACGTGCCCCTGGGCTGGGCTGGGCTGGGCTGGGCTGGGCTGTGCAAGACTGGAGACCGCGGGTGGGCTGTGCTTTGGGGCTGGAAGGCTTCTGCTCCCGTCTGCCACACTCCCAAATGGTGCCCTACAGCCGAGAAGAGGCGGTTGCAGGGATATCCCGGGGCATCCCTGAGCAAGGATCCCAGGGGTGCACTGAACCTACCCCAGGGGATCCCAGTGGTGCCCAGGGTGGGGGTCACAGGGATGTCCCAGTACTGCCACAGGGTGTCCTGGGATTGCTGGGATGGCAACAGCAGCAGTGGGGACCTGAAGGTGCCTGGCACTGGAGATTCTCCACTGAGGAACCTCAGTGACTCT